AAAAAAAAAAAAGGAGAGAGAAAATCACATTCTTGCGATTTGCTGTGTGTGCCTGAATATGCAGCTTACATAGAAGTAGTTTAGAAAAGCTAATCCCCTGATGGCGATGATGCATATTTTGCACAAACATACTGTACATCCTCCTCAGTCCGACACAGCAATGTCCCAGTCTGGTGTGTTAGTATTCCTGTAAAGCAGTGGCTGATCTCCAGTGCTCTGCAGCTTAGATTAATAATGAATCAAGGCTTTTACCAGTCTCGCACTCTCTCTCAGTCTCTGTGGATCAGCTTCCTGCTACAGTTTCAGAATGGCATGGTTTTGATGATCCTCTATTCATTTGAGGGACAATAGGTAGATTTCTAGACAGTGAAAATAGACCATCTATAAATTCACTATTGGATTGAACTATTTTATTAAAGAATAAATGGACTTACCATAAGTCTCTTATTCGATGTTATAAATCACAATATTATGAGTTCTGGGTTATTTGTGTCATACATACATCTCTATCTACCATTACAGATTCCCCAGAGGTGAGCTGAATTCTGCCGTCTTTGCTCATGGGCGCAATTGTCTGTGAGCTGTAAATTTAATTTCACTAATCACTCTGGAACAACAGCAAGATTGGCTTAGGTTGCTGGCATCACAAGAACAAACGTTTCAAAACCCTTCAAAGGCAGCAGATAGGGAAAATTATCCATTACAATAAAGTTCATTTCACTTTTAAGAGGCCCCCATAATCAGCCATTTATAATACATATTGCTTGCAAAAACATTATTTTGTTGTATTCTGCATGGCTTTTGATGAAAAAAGTTTTTTTTTTTTTTTTGGTGTATGTATGACATTTACCAGCAGGCTGTTCATGATTTCGGATTTGTAAAAATATACACATTACAGAGCAGTACAGATTAACATAATAATTGCACAACATAAACACTGTAATCATTTAACAGATAACGCAATGGAAATTCTTGAAAACTCCTGTGAAGTAAGAAAGAGCACACTTATTAGTGAATAAAACCCATTGTCATTTTTCTCAAGTAAACATCAGCATCAAGCAATCAGATGATACTGATCCCAGACGCCCTTGCATGACCTGTCAATCTCATCATAAGGATGTTAATATGTTGACTGATATTTACTGCATGGCAGTTAGCTTAATATATGTACATGTAGCACAATTATGGTATGTTGTGTAGTTCTGTTCTTCCGGTTTCCACTGAGGCGATCAATCAAAATCGGATTAAATCTGGTGTCATCATTAGATTTTATGGCTGAGCTACTGATACAACATACTAAACATGCAAATTCATTACAATTCCTTTATATTTACTGACAACAGGATTAAACTGCAAAATGCAAAATCAGTTAGATTAGATTCCCAATCAAAAGTCTTTCCTACAGAAAAGGAAGGACTAATTTTGACCACAGAAAAGGTCTGTTTTGATGAATGGTCCCAATCAACAGAACTTATCTGGAAGTTGAGGAGGGATTATTGAATTTTAAGCCTTTGTAGAATTGTAATTAACTTTCTCTTTACCCAGAAAATGGTTTTCCTCAGTCAGTGTGGTTCAATAATCCAGCCACCCATGTAATAAGATGTTCATTACGAAATTGTACATCTCACGCTCCTCTTTTATTTAGAGCAACTTCTGTGCTCTGTCTGTAAGAGTGAGGCTAAAGAGAATATCAGATATACCAGGGCAAAGGTAATATAACTGGTCAAACTTTTTGGACTGGTCAAAATAATTGGCCTTCTGTAAGACATTTCTAACATCGTTTTACATTGTGGGATTCCAATTGAGAAACTGGTCTTTGATTGATTGAGTACATGTGTGTTGATATGTGAGGAATCGTATATAAAGAGTAAATGTTTTAAAAAAAATTGTATTTCAATTGCACTAAGCGCTTTATTTTTTTGCACTATAAATAAAGACTGCTAGTATCTCTCCTTTTTAGATACACAGTAAATGATTTTCAAGTATTGAGTTTTTCACTCTCTTTGGAGGAATTAGTCATCTTTTAGGGCAGTTTGTTCAAAAAAGTAAATAAAAGCAAAACCTCAGGGAGGAATTCACTAGGAAAATCAAACTAAATTATGCAAATTAGGTAACCATGCAAACATGGCCACAAAAGCATACATTAATTGCGGTAGAGTATCACAGATTTGTGTGAGCTTACTTTACAAAATAAATGACAATGAAAATTTAACAGCACTATTTCAGCACATTTTGCACCTGGTTAGACTGGATTCTGGGTGGTTAGTGAAAAAGATGCTCAAATACCACAGTACACACAAAAGTGACACTTAGTAAATTCACCCATCAGTTGTTAAAAAAGAAGAAAAAGATCAGAATGTTGCTCGTTCTTGCAGCATCTTGCAAATCTCTTTCACTGTTACCTCCACCGCCTGGAAATCATAAGAATGCTCTTTTTTATACATATGGACTTACGGTCAGCACCTGGAAAGAAAAAAATGCTTGTTCATAGTGACTTTATTGCTAGAGGTCACTGTAGTTAGGTGTTCGTATTGCTGGGTGATTTCAGTGATGACCTGTATACATTAAGTATTCAAAGCATTTAAAAATCAAAACACAAATGAGATGTACTGACTGTAAAAAAAATAACAATGAATCAGTTAAAAGTGACCACTGGTGTATTTGCTGCTCAATTGCATAAACTTTTATCAACTGTTTTTTGCATCAAATCTCTTCAAAACAGTCACTGTAACCCATGAAGCTTGAAATTGCCTTTGAAAATTATTGACTTCTGGTCACTTTGTTGCTCTAAATGGCTGTCAGTGTGAGGGGATCCAACAAAACTGAAAACATCCGATGACCCTGAAACCGAATTGAACATTCATATTTGTTTCAATGATTAGGTTTCATTTTAATGTTATCCTTTAAAACAAGTCACCACCTTCACACTATTTGTAGACATGCATGATGTGTTGTCATATGATCAATCTGTCAGTTTTTATGTTGCATGCAAACAGAAGTTGATGCTTTTGTTCTTAGTCAGGATTTCAAACATTGTACTTGTTCTCAAACAATAGCATATTAGACGTCCTCGTTTATAGTCAGGCATACTTTAATTACCATGTCTAATGAAACAATTAAACCCCAGCAGAAGTCACAGCTTCTGATTTGTACCTTTGTGTTGCCTTGGTAACTAAAAGAGAAATATTTTGTGCTCAACATCTCTGCTCTTATGCTGTTAACAGGTCTTTGTGGGTACAGGGTCTTATATAAATCTGCGTCTCCCAAGAAAATCCTGATTGATATTAATTCATTGTTGCTCTCTGACTGGCTACTGAAATGCAGTCATCTTTCTTCTGCATAACAAACGACGACCTCACCTTTCCTGCGCTAAAAACAAAGTGAGGCACTTAATCCATTAAAAGCATGGTAGGAAAGGCATATTTCAGACCCCAGTCTCTTGAACACATTAAAAAGGTCCTAACAGAACAGGAAATTAAAGTGTGCTGTCCAGCGTGATGAATTACAGAAAAATATGTATCGCCGCACATACTGAAGAGAGTTTAGATATGAGCGCATTAAGACAACCCGTATATGATCAACCTCCATGGAATGTTTTATTATAGATCATTGCCAAATATTGTCTGGAGTGAAGCTACATGACTATGATGTCATAAATGAAAATAATAAAAGCACACATGAGGTTGAACAGAAAATGAAGATTAAAAAATAACAAGGGCACATCTTGACCATATTTATGGTACAGTGATTAACAAACATACAAAAAAATGGCAAAAATATTCATGAATAAGAATAAAAATGGCAAAAGATTGCATCGATGCGACAGGGCTTACTTGCAGTCCAGGCCACTTGTATTAAGACATTAAGGTAAGAAACTCACAGCGTAAATTATCTGAGCTGCATGTCCGTATCCATATTAGTCTTCTTTATTACATATTTCTTTGATTCTTCAATAAATAAAACAACTGATAACAAGGAAACCTTGGTACAATTAAGAAGTGTGTCTTGTATTTCATCGACGGCTTCAAGTAGTCAAATATCCATGCTTAGACTTAGAAACATCTGCGAGAAAGATTAGACCTCTAATCTAACAATATGCTCTGCTTGTCCTTACAAAAACGTGTGTGTACTGTATATATATTTTTCGTCCTTCACATGAGTCAACAGTGTCGGATTTTTCGGCATGAAACACACTGAATAAATCAATTAAATGTTCTCTCTGTACAATAGAATTACTAAAAAAAAATACAACTTAGGTTCGTATGTACGTCATCTACCTAAAAAGTACAACCGCTATCATGTAATAAAATATGTAAACAAATTTCTCGTTCGACACAGTCGACTGTGACAAGATAGATTTTTTTTCACACTCTTCACATTAGATTTATTTTCGTATAGACATCCTTTAACAGTATCATTGCACTGCGCCAGTCTGCACCAGACAGCTGTATAAAAAAGAGAGAGCAAATGGACCAACATACATACGGTTGAAAAAGTTCCAATCTGCGGCCCGTTCCCTTGTCAAGTCGCTTTGAGGGACGAGAGGTCTATCTGATGATCGGATCGGCCCGGTGGGCGGATGTGATCGAAGCGAAGGATGGCATGGCATGCACTACAATCAGTCGCTTTACTGAGACAAGGAAACGTCACTGTCTTTTTGGAAACTCACACATTTGCAATATTACAGTTGGTTGTACAATTAGAATGATCAGTTTCGGCTGGAAATCATAACAGTGCTGTGCTGTCAGAGCCTCGGTGACCGGTCTTCGTTTATTACATCAGTTCGGCTCCTGTCGCCCTCTCTCGGCACAGCGCCCAACAGCTCAAAGTTCTGTCAAAGCGACGGGCGACATTCTCACACGTAGTACTCCTTGTCCTTGTTTTTCTGTTTCTTGTTGCCGCTTTTCACGCTCTGCTGCTTGTCCTTCATGACTGCTCCATTGCTCTGCGCCGAGTTGGTTATGTAATTCCTGGTCTCGTCCACTTGGTAGGATCCCTCGTCCCTGTTTCTGTACTTATACATGGCGTACAGCAGAATTAGGATGCACAAAGCGGCAGCGGCAACTATCCCGACGACCATTCCGGTGGTGCTGCTAGATTCACGGACCACCTCGGAGGCCCCCGGAACCCGCCTGATGCCCGGCTCCGTGGGGATTGCTGTGGGTACATTACGGAACATGGGGGAGGTTATTAATGGGCTCTTCAGCTTTGTGTTGCCTACCTCATAGGAAGTGGGCAATGGAAGCAAGACTATGTCGGGCTGGGGCTTTAACTCCCTGTGATTCATTTTGCCCGCGGGCAGTTTGGGTGGCGTGGACATGGTTGTGGAGCGGCTCAGCTTGGGGGAAAAAGACGTGGTAGTAGTCCTACCAGAATCGGAGACTTTGTTAGGTCTAAAGTCCTTGGATCCCCACTTAGGCGCGTGAGCTTTGTAGCCACCTTCAAAGGTCGACGAAGACAAGGTCTTATCTGTTACCAAGGAGAAGGTGGTGTAAAAATCTTCATCATCAGTAGGGGGCAGGTTAGAGTCGTATGCTTCCCCAGAGCCATACCCAGATATCATCAAGCCATCATCATCATCACAATCATCGCTGCCTCGGTCCGACAAGCAAGGTACCCCCGCCTCAGTGGCCATGGACAGGGACTCTTTGGTGGTCTCAATAATGGTGAGGTGGGGGCGGAGGGTTGGGGGAAAGGGGATGGAGGGTGTACGAGTGGCTACAGAGGGGAGCTCTAAGGGATCCTTTACAAGTATTGGGAAAACTAATTCGCCTCCTATAATTGAACACAGACACGAGGCAAGTTAGTCTCGAAAACTGGTTAAAAAACACTAACGGATACAAGGCAGAACGTACAAAAAAAACTAAAAAACTAAACAAAAATAAAAGACAAAAGCAAAACAATATCGAACATAAACGACTATAAGTTGGCATCAAAAGGACTTGACAGGTCTTTGTGGGTGAGCTGGTTTGCGAGCTATCTGAAGTTGCACGTGAATAATTAACATAGGCTAACAATAGGGCTGGGAAAATAAATCGACGCATGGCGAATTGAGAAATGATTCTGCATCGATTCTGAGATTTTCTGAATGCATCGTGATTTTCTCTCTAATCGATTCGAGCTTAGTTTTTAACAGCAAATGGCACTGCATGCTTTAGAAACTGTCATACTCTGCTTGCTTACAATTCCTTACACACACTTGAACCTAAAATAATCATTCATAAAGTTCGAAAAAGTTGTAGCGAATTACAAGGGTGTTCACAGTGGGCTGTGTTTACATTAATCTCGCGTCATAAAGCGCACAAGCGCTCTTCTTCATGAGCATTTGAGTGTGTGGTTAAAAACTAAGCTCAGAATCGATTTCAGAAAGAATCGCGATGCATTCGGAAAATCTCAGAATCGATCCACGAATCGCGATGCATCGATTTATTATCACAGCCCTAGCTAACAATACTAATATAAATCACATATAATGTTAATTTCTACTAAAACATTTGAAACTTTTTAACACAAAAGTTGCATTTGTTAGGATTAGCGCATGCATTTCAACATGAACTAGTAATAAACAATATACAAATGAACATGAAGCAAGACTAATAAATGCTGTAACTTACTGAATTGCATCCTTATTGTAAAAACATTGATTTTAAATAGTATTCTGCATAATTAAAAAGGGTATGAATAATTTCCTATTGCCATGAAGTCTCATGACCTAAAAATAAATGCCAGAAGAAATAACATACAGTACATATAAGAAAATCATTATATAAGCTACGAGGTGAAGTCTCACCTTATGACGGTTTCATCTGTTTTATTAGAAGTGAAACAATGTCAACAGCTTGCATATTTTTGTAGAAAAACATCTCTCTCTATATATAAACACACGTGTGTGATGGAAGATGTGGCTCCCCAGCAGTGCACTGACTCTTGCCTTTTGAATGACCTCCTAATGGCAGCTACTGTCTCCATAATGCAATGACAGCTGAATGATTTCTCTAATTATCTATTGAATATGCTTGATTTCCGAAGGGCAATGCTTTAATCTAACTAATAAGCAATCGCTAAATCTAATACGTAATAAGTAATAACTAAATCTAAGTAATAAGGAATACAATGAACGCTGCTTTCTGTATGTTAAAATGCTACAAGTACAGTAGCAGTAAGATGGTCAGTTCTTTGTGTAGTTGTAACGTGTTGCTATTCAGAAAGGAAGGAGTGATACTAATACTAGAAGAAAAACAATTTGGTGTATCTGCTATGCAACAAAAACAAAAAGGTCCATTTCATGGACATTGAAGGTTTGTTTCTGCTTTCCACCTGCTAGGTATTCAGACTGTCATTGCAAATGAAAGATAAAACCGCCATCAGGTTTTTTAGTAAGACTTGCATAAAAATAAAATTCAAAATCAAAAGAACTTAAAGAGGCAGACTTTAATAACAACAAAACTAAACCAAAGCCAATACCATAAGTTCTTAATAACTAGTCATAGCACACAATACAGTACTGACAAACAGGCAATATAAACATCAACAGTATAATTTAGCAAATCGAGATCAGAACTTCTTGATCTCATTATATTAAGAATTTAAACAAGCATAAACGGCATATATATTATAAACATAAACACATAAGCATATCATAATTTTTTTGTCAACTTACATCAACAAATTGCCCGCATGATTTTGGCATGAAGAAAAAAAAAACATACAAAAGAAAGTTGTGTAAGAATGTTCTTGGACAGGTTTTTTCTTTGTGAAAACAAAATGACTGTCATCGTGTTTCTGGTTAGATATATATTTTTGTTTCCCACATGAGAGAGTACAGGGAGGCAACAACACATACATCCACACCACATAACATGAAAAATAAACTTCACCATTATTCTCTTTTGTTACTTTGATATATAATCCAGTTTTCTTACAAAAACTGTACATATTTGAGCCTTTGATTTACATAGCATTTTGTTGTTGTTGTTGTTAAATAAATATCTACATTCTAGTAATTAAACTTTTTACTTAGATTGGTTTTAATCTTTAGGTTTGAGTGAATGGATGACTACATATTTTACCATAGCTAGAGGGGGAAGGAAGGGGGAGGGGGTTGTGACAAGGGAATTGGACCTATGAACATACTACATAGGAGATGATAATGATGGGGGTGATTGTGTAAGTCAGTTGCCATGTCCATGTATAGGCAGTACGAAGCGGTCGGGCAGCATTAACGTTTTTGGCTGTAAGGAAGGGATGGGGATATACAAACAATGAGCATATACATGCCCATCTACGAAAAATAACAAAACTCTAACACTGACAATCTGACAAACCCTAAACTGCAACTTCTTCGCCATGCAGTTTGGAAACATTCTTAAAACGTCAATTGTTCATCAAGATCAACTCTCAAAATTTGAAAAAACAAGAAGTGTATGAAGATCTGGAACCTTTTCACTGACCATCATGTGCATTTTTTTATTTATTTTTATTTTTATTTTTAAATCAAATTGGGTTGTTTTTGCATTTGAGGCAGTGCAATTTTGTTCTTGATGTGATTCTTGTGATTTGAAAATGATTTTGATGATTTATCACTGTAAGCACATGGAATTTTCATTGAATTAGTTCCAAATCTAAAAAAGAATACCAAAAATCAAAACACGTTATCAAATTAATGATAATTGTGATTTGATATTCACATCTAGTTAAAATTTCACCACTAATTTTGAACCCAAAAATTCAGCTAGTCAAAAAAATGGTAACCAACAAAAAATGAAATTGATTTGAGTGTGTAAACTAAAAAGACAAAATTCCCAGAGACGAAAGAACAAAGCAATTCTCATTTTCACACACTACAACCAGATGCACAAACTATAAAACAGACACAATCGAGAGGGGCAGTTTAATAGACAACTGCTTCCTCTGTCATGTGACCCAAAGACAAATATATCTGTCATTGTTAGTCTTAAACATGTAACAGGCGTGCAGTCTGGATGTATGTCAAAGAGAGAGGAAAATTGGCTGAAAATGGGTTAAGTTTTTTTTACTGCAAGATGTTGACGCATGCGTAAAGTAAGTTGCATTTAGGGAGAGTAGACAAACAACACAGCAAGCTGGGGGTCAAATCAGACATCAAAGGTTAAGCGAGGTCAAAGAAGCCTTTTAACCAGGGCCTGTAGGTCACAGATGTTTGTCTGTTTGCTTTCGTGGCACACTGCTGGAAAATACAGAGCACATTCCTCGGTAAAGTCATTAAATCTCATAATCATGGACGGTACCCACAGACTTTGGTTCAAAAGCAGCATAGTATTGATTGAGGAATTCCACAAGAGGGTTCAAGATAGATGACTTCTATAGAAAATAGAAATAAACTCTCTGAAAACTTTAGTGCGCACAGTATTAACTTATGAGATGTTAAATTAGAACATAATCTAATTATCTAAAATCTATACTTTACTTTCTAATAGAAAATAACAAATACATTCCTCTCAAAAATAATTAAATACAATGAAACCACACAATGACTAGTATTGTGGGGAAAGCAGTGATTAATGAAAGTATAAGATTCTTAAAATATATAATACTCCTTTATAAATACTGTAATTTGTCAATTTAACTGTCAATTTGACTTCCTTTTGATTGATAGATTAGAACAATGTGTCAATATATGTGACACTTTAAATGATATACTTGCAATATATTGAAATTGGTAATATTTAATTTATCCAACATTATATACCAGTGTAGTGCATGCTGGGAAATCGTGACATTCCAATACAGAGGGCTGACTAAACAACTGTTAAGACTCGTTCACACCAAGAATGATAGCTATAATGATAATAATATTACCTAGCCTCAATAACTGTCTATTTAATATAAGCTGCAGTTATGTCGTCTGCTGCTTTAACTGCTCAAGCTCTTTAAAGCTCTCTGATTGGCTGTCAAAGTTTTTATCATTCATTAGCTGGAAAAAATGGTTTTGAAAGTTATTTCAACAATGTCATTCCTCTGTGCCATACCTGACAACATTTGGGTACCAAAATACGGGAAAGGGGGGCGGAGTCAAAAGTAACAATTTTTATATTATATTATATTATTTTTATATTAATTTAAACAATTATTATCAAACAATTATATTCATTTAGTAACATAAATGTATCTTAGTGTAGGCTATATCTTTAGAGTTTTATAATTCATTATCTTCTTGTCGATCCACCAGTTCACATTTATAACTGCGTGTTTTATGCGTAAAAATAAGGGTCGTTTTTTGGCTTTGGTCTAAACAAAGCGCAGAAGGGCTTATTGAAAAAAATGCAAATTAATTCTCTGCCAGCAGGTGGCGCTTTTCACCAGGAATATAGCCGTTTCCCCCTGTAACCTCAGTAAACAAAGCAGCGCAGCACCTGACTTTGAAACTTGCAGCGCTCATATTTAATCAATTAAATAGCCTTTTGAAGTGTAAGCTATATCTCAATTTACATGTATATTTAGTTTTTTCACTGGAGCACCACCTGAGTCTTCTCCCATTTCTACCAGTGATCATTGTTTCCTTCCCACGGTACTACCTGCGCACATATCATTAGCGTCACTGGGCTGTAGGTTGCCAAGTTGAGGGGACAAATGGGTTGAAATTTGTATGCGTCGATTGTGTGAGAAAGATGCGTTTCATACAAGATCTGGCAACTTGACAACCTTGGAATTTGTTGTCGTGATTATTCATATGTTGAGGTTTGGCCCATACAAATTACGGGAGTTTTACGGAAGCGAATGTAGCAAACATATAAAAT